TACCATTTGCATTTTAATATAAATTTGCTGAGATTTCTACTTCTGGGTTAGGTGGATTTGGAAATGATTAAAAATCTCCCCTTTTTCCACATCTTTCAGAACACAGCTTTACATGGTTAAGTAATATAAAGGAATGAACAAAGGAGTTGGAGAAACTTGCCCACTGATTCCATTTCCTCTATATGGGAAAGTTACTCACCCTCCTACAGTCTCAGTTTCTTCATCTGTGAAATGGGATGAAATTACTGATTTTGTAATATTGATGTGGGGACTCAATTACATTTAATAATATAAAGTTCCAGTTACCTAATAGTTTCCTTCCTACTCTGTCCTAAAATATAAATCCATTTATCTCTTTGGTTTCCTCCTCCTCCTTCTCCCCTTATTTGCTTCCATGATTTCACTTAAAGTAAACCAGAAAACTGTTGAAATAAATTATTTGGAATTCTTTTGTGGCCTTCTCACTTTTGCTACTGGGTAATTCCAAAATTCCTGCTTTGGGTTCTTGACACTGCTAGTTGTACACAGTGCTTTCTTCTTTTCCAGCCCACCCCCCTCTTTTTTCTTTGGTTTCTCTAGGGATGAATGATCTGTGTAGAGCACATTAAAATCTTGTATCTCCTTCTAGTCATCTTGCTTATGATTTTTAACTCCAGTTATTGTCCCTTAGTGGCTGCTGCTAGAGCTAAGTACTTTTTGGGCAGTTTATGGTTACTCTGCATTGCCAAATTATAAGGCTAAAATGAAAGTGAGATTTGGTTTAAAAGAACCTAGTTTTGGGCTGAAATGGAGTTTAGCTTTGACAGTGAGGGAAGCCATTAGCAGACCCACACTTTTTGATTAGATGAAGTAGATTAGTGTAAGAGTAAAACACTTTATCAATTTAATTAAGCAAATCATTATATTAAAATGTGCAGACTAATTTTAGAATCTAATTCTGTACACTGCAATGGCATCTGCTATTTGGCTCACATGATATAATGTGAAGTCTTTCTCTTTGATCCATGTAGATCTCATGTCTTGATGTTCTTTCTGGTCCTTTGATTCAGATGTGCTCCCTCCTGTTCATTTGCTGCATGGCTAAGTAAATTTGTGATCTGGTTGTGTCAGGCTCCCCAGCCAGAGAAGCACCTCTTCAAGAACAGAATGAAGGAAGTTTGGGATAGTTGGTTGATTGAATGCAGTCTTTCCAAGTATTTATAGCTCATCTGTCTCCTAATGGTTCCTTAGGCTTCTAGCAGGCACGTGTCCCATTGTTGTTAAGCAAAACCCGGCATGTATATTTGACAAGTTAGCAGCGTGGCAACTCTGCTTGCTCCCCAGCCCCGCCGCTGTCTCAGGGATTGTTTGGTTTGGCAGATGGCCAACTCTCTGCTATAAGATGCATTTCTTTGACAGGACAAAGTGTGGAGCCGCATTAGCTGCAAAGTTTACAAAGGTTAGCTAAACACACACAATAAATATTAATAAATAAAAAGGCCCACCCACTTTTGACTTTGAATTCTGTTTCTTCATTCTGTGTTTTGGAACCTCTGTAGTATTTGATTAATAACCAGTCTTAGGGTGATTGAGCCTTAGTATCCCTAGCCTAAGTCAGACTGCCCACAGGCCTCTCATTGGCTGCTTTGGTGACTCATTGCCACAGTGGATGGACCTCTGGGATGACAGTTTAGTTCAAGGGCTCTTATTTGCCTCTCCCTGCTTTAGCATGCATAGAGGGTAAATGTGCTTCTCCATGAGAGCTTATGCTGACCTGCTGTGTGTGTGTCTGAGAGCTCTGCAGGGTAAAGGAGGTGAACAGGAATAAAGGTGCAGTGCCCTTGGACTCCCTGGAAAGCAATCAGACATTGCTTGTTGGCCTGGACAGTTGTCTCTCTCTAACATTTACACCCTCAGCTTGCAGGGAGAGAGTAACAGTAACCTGCTGCCCCTGGAAACTGCCTATTTGGCTGGGTGTCTTGGAATTTATCAGGCCTACATTGTGGATCTTTTCCAATTCTGCACCCTGCTCACTTGAAAACATATTTGAGAACCAGTAATCTTAGACTGCTAGCCAGACCTCTAGAGAACCAAGGAAGAGAAATAACTCTAATACTATGTCCTTAAGATTGTCCTGGGGCCATTTGTGGGTGGCTGAGATTTCTGAAGGCCATCGAAAGCTTCTGTCATTGCTTTTTCTTTCTCTCTTGTTCATGCACATCCTCTCTAGGACATATTGAGGGGGAACTAACCCTGCTGCATTTGTAGTATACCTGAGTGTAATAATGATATGGAGAAATCAAATTATTCCTCATGGAGAGTAATTATTTTAACTTGATAATGGTTTCTAACTCTACCTAGGGAAGCAATCCATTTAGGCATGGGTGAACTGTAGTTTTTAATTCATTCCTTCAGCAAACATTTGTTGAGCACCAAATGCTACTCTAGGCACTCGGGATATATTGCCAAACAAAACTGACTGAGCTTTCTGCACATGGAGTATATGTTCTGGTGGGGGAGGCAGAAAATAAGCGTAATTGATAAACAAATTATGTATTATGTTAAAAGGTGATACGTGCTATAAGAAAAAGAAAAGCAGGGCCGGCCCGGTGGCGCACTGCTACAGTGCGCCGCTTGGGAGCGCAGTTGCGCTCCCGCTGAGGGTTCGGATCCCACATACAGACCGGTTCCCGCTCACTGGCTGAGCGAGGTGCGGACGCAACACCGAGGGTTGCGATCCCGTTGCCGGTCCCGGTCCGGTACGGGCGCGACACTGAGGGTTGCAATCCGTTGCCGGACACGAAAAAAGACAAAAAAAAAAAAAAAAAGAAAAAGAAAAGCAGAGTGAGGTGAGTTTTGGGGCACTGTTTTAAATAGGGTGGTCTGAGTAGCAATGGCATTTAAGCAAAGACGTAAAGAGATGAGTCTTGGCTTAGATGAACTTATTTTAGGATAGTGTTATGTAAACATGACTTTATGAAGTTATGTTTGTGACTCTCCTCATGTTTCCATGTACCTGGCTGTGAACATCTGGAAATTTCTAGTGGTCTAGGCGTAGTTCTCAAATTAGTCTCAGTGGCGGAGTACCTAGAAGTCAGGCTGCGCTTTGCAGACTATGAACTATTGATATACTTAATGCCGTCTTACCAACCAAGGGCATTTTTATTAGGAGAAAATGTGACTTTTATATGTCTGCATTATAAAGTGGGTTTCATGAGAATATCTACAAATCAACAACAACCAAAAAAATAAAAAAAATTAAAAACCCAAACTGTCAAAATAAATATAATTTTCTTTTTTTCTCCTTTTTTTGTCTTTTGTCATGACCGGCAATGGATTGCAACCCTCAGTGTCGCGCCTGTACCGGACCGGGACCGGCAACGGGATCACAACCCTCGGTGTTGCCCCCGCACCTTGCTCAGCCAGTGAGCGGGAACCGGTCTGTATGTGGGATCCAAACCCTCGGCGGGAGCGCTGCCGCGCTTCCCAAGCGGCGCACTGTAGCAGTGTGCCACCGGGCCGGCCCCAAAATAAATATAATTTTCTATTTTCAAGTTTTTCTATTAATATTTACTCATTATTGTATATGTTTTATCATCTTGCTAGCAGACCTTGGGTAGCAGGCACCATAGATTTAAGGAAAATTGTGGAAAGAAAACCTAAAATTGTGAAAATCTGCCCTTTTAACTTAATTGCCCCCTACCAATAGGGAAAATGCAGCCACTCTGATTTGATTTTCTCTGTAAAACATCTCAGTCTTCTTCAGTGGTGCATAGCTTAAGAACCACTCTTGTGGATTATCATCAGAGGTGAATTAGATTCCTACAGACTCTTCAGCTTCTTCCTTAATTCCTCTGGAATCTCAGAGAAGGATTTGTAGCCGTTTAACTATAGGCATAGTTTTTGCTCATCAGATGGGAGTTAGAATTTCTATCAAAAGGAATCTCAGAGATTCTCAGATTTTCTGTCTTAACGAAAGAGTGGGATGGTTAGAGATGAGGAATGAAAGAAATTCAGCTGAAGGCAGATTTAAGAGACAGAAGTTCCATGGTTTTCATTCTACTGTTAGAACTGTAAAATGGCAGTATTTAATTGTATCCTTTCCCCCCTAAGTCTCCATACATAACTGGGCAGGTGATTGATAGATGTTATAATAAAATAAATGTTGAATTAATGCTTATATTCATTTCTTACTCTATCAGAGTGAGTTCTACAGAACCTAGTACGTGGTGTTTCTGCCTACCAACATTAGCTTCATCTTTTTTCCCTTTAATTCTATCCATTCCATCCCTCCCACTTCTGCCTTCTGACTGCAGAAAAAAATTAAAAATAGGTTGTAGTAGAACTAGTGGTTCTTTTTGACCCCAGATCACTACTTATTTTCCTCACCAGTAATAAATTCAGGGGATCATAACTTACAGTGAACCTTCACTTTAACAGCTTTTCAGTCAGGTTAATGTCAAGTCTTTGAATTTTGTCTCTGTTTCACTTCTATTGTTCTGCTGTTTTATCTCCTAGATAGAGATTATTAAATGCCTGCGAATATGTGTTGTTTCTGAAAAAGCTTTATGAGATTTGGATCTTTGTAAACTAAAAACAATAACCGCCTGGCCCCAATCTGCTGTCCAGAGGGACATATTGTGTGTATAAAAGCATGAAACACTGAGATCTAAATCTGTTTCAGTAGGAAGCATAACTGAGTTATTTGGATATGGCATTCCATGATGCCAGCCTCACATGGTAATGGAGCTGGGAAACCTAACTTTGTGGTTTCAAGGATGTCAGGAAAGGGAGATAATGTCAGGGAGGGAACATCTTCTTTATTTTTAAAGGGTATCACACATAAAATAAGTGATGGAATGGAACTTAACCTCAGGAGCACTTTATGGTTTAGGTCTTAAAAGTTACAGTTAACCATCAGGATCTTATTTGATTTAGTAAACTAGCCATCAAGGTACCAGCAGGATTTTTTTAAACCTTTTTATTTATCTTTAGTTGACCACCATGCATTTCCTTTTCAGAGTGTTGTCCGCTGCCTATGGCATCCAAAGCTGAACCAGATCATGGTTGGAACTGGAAATGGATTGGCTAAAGTCTATTATGACCCCAACAAGAGTCAGAGGTATTTCATAAGTATTGCCTGTTTTAGATGAATGACAACAACTTGGGGAAAGGGGCTTTTTTCACCCCTGCTTTTATTTATTTTCCCCCTTTGATGGGGAGCCACCCTTTTAGAAAATGCAGCTGGCACAGAGTAAAACCTCAAACTCCTACTGTTGTGCTTTAAAGAGGATTTGGATATCGCCCTTGATCCATACTGGATTCAAAGTGAAAGTTTCCTGGGGATTTGCAGTTCTTTAGCTGAAATGCTGAGTGCAATGGGGAAAAAAGTCCTGCCCACTTTGTATACCACCCTGGACAGTGGCATTAGCAGTGATGCATGTCAGGGATTAACAAAACAGGGAACTAACCACTTATAGGAAATGTAAATGCCTTGTCCATTTTGTTACCTTTTTCTCTGGCTTTTAGCAGTGATTAGTTTGGATGTTGAGCAAGGTTATTCTCTGCCAGCAGAAAAGAACAGCACAAATTCTTTCCCCCTCAACCCTTATGCCCACCCCAAATGTCAAACTTAGGCATACCAATGTATTTCACAGGTCTGGAAATCACTAGAGGCTCTGTCAGTCCTTTGGTTATTTCCATTTCCCTTGGGCAGAAAGGTGCACATGTGTTACCACCCAAAAAAGAATGGTTTTGTTTCTCTCCCTTAAGTTACAATGACTGATTAGCTCCCTCTTTAGAGTGAGTGTTGGATAGCTAGTATTAAAATTCACATGATAAATTCACTGGAGACCCGTATAAACCTGTTTTGAGGTTCCGTATCCTTTCTGAAGGAAAGCCATTCTCTATTAGAAGGCACTCTCTTTGGAATCTTTACTCCAAGAAATTTGCTTGTTTTTATTTTCTTCTCTTGAAAAGAATAGCTCAGTATTGCTAAGCAGAAGTGAAATGTTCTAAGCACACTTTTGGTTAATCCCACACATTCTTGGGCTGTAGCCCCTTGGTAACCCTGCCAAGATGACTCGGTTTCAGACACTTATACTCTTGTATCTGAGATGTGGACATATGCCTCTCGGGGTATAGACCACCCAGATTGCTTTCATATGGGACATAAACTAAAATTTGAACCCTATGACCTTTAGGGGGGGAAAAAGGATGGTTAGTTTTATTAATATTTCTTTAAGATCTTAAAATCTTAAGTTATTTCTCTCTCTCTCTCTCTCTATATATATATATATTTTTTTTTTAACTTGTGTCCTGTTGCCCTGTTACCTCTCCAACCCTTTTGAATAACCACTGACTGACATACTTGCTTTTCCATAAGTTTAATAATCCTTTATCATTAAGATCCCATCTGTTGCCATCCCTCAGAAAGACAAGGACCTGACAAGATGTAGTGCATAGAATGTGTTCCTGAAAGTATCTAATGCTTTCCACATAGACTTTCTGTTTCTGAAACCAAATCAAGAAAATAATTTGCTTTTACACCCCTCAGAGGAGCAAAATTATGCGTGGTTAAAACCCAGCGGAAGGCGAAACAAGCTGAGACTCTAACCCAGGACTACATCATCACCCGTAAGTTGTTAGCATGCCTTTCAATAATACATTTCTCTTCTACTCTCATGTGGTATTGATTGTGTTGTTTTAGAGACAGAAAAAGCCCTCAGAGTTCAGGCATATATTACAAAATCTCCCATTTATGTGGATAGGACTACAAGTCATGTAACAGCTAACCCCTTTAGCTTCTGTGACTCATCACAGCGACAGGGTTATTTCATGTAACTTTCAACCCAAAAGGGAAAAGCTTATTTGAGCCTAATACATTCCTCTATAGCAGCCCTTTAAAGCTAACAGTCTGTTCTAAGAATAAACAAGAAAGAGTGCTGTTGTTAGAATTAGGAGGACTGGGTTTGTCTAGTTCTGCCTGGCACACCGTCTGGCAGTGTGACATCGAACAACTGAAATTCATCAGGAGGATGAAGAAACTAGATGAAAGGTCTTCTCCAGCTCCTTCTGAAATTCTGTGACCATGTGCTAGACTGATCCAGAGGTTGTGTGTGTGTGTGTGTGTGTGTGTATACATATATATGTATATATATAAAATGAACTATCTGTGATACGAGCAAGAAGCTTAGGACAGAGTGGCTTATCTCAGGTTTGTCACACAACTTCATTAATTCTGGCTGGTCTTTGTTCCCAGAGCCACAATTTCAGACCTGTAACAGGTGACAAGTAGGAAGGAAATCTTGGATGCCACAGGGATTGTCATTAGCAGATGGCCCTGTGGACTTCATTGGTGACATTTAAAGCCCAAGGGGCGCTGTACTGTTGGGTTTTCTCCCTGCTGGTGGGTCTCACGTAAGACCAGGTCCCTTAGAACTTATGATCAGTAAGAGATCCCATGACACTTTTTGCAAGAGTAGAAGTGTTAAAATCAGTGTCATAACCAGTCTAGCTCATGTAATTACACGCGGCCTACTTAAGTTCCTCCAGTCGTTTGAAGTGAAAAGCTATTTTTCCTCCTCCTAAAAATACTGTTGTGTCGTGTTGCCCAACAGAGTAACGGGTGGCTGTGTTTCTCAGCTCCCCTGACTCAAGGCAGGCATGTTTTACTGATGAGTGATATGGTCTGGCCCTGGTCAGCAGTGGGGTAGAGGACAGGAAGGGATACTGGCAGAGTTTTTAAAGTGTTGTAGACATTTCACTCATATTATAAATTCCCTTTAAACCTTTACCCTCCTACCCCCGGTCCCTTGATAAAAGTTTCTTTTTTCAAAGAGGTTTTAATCTGCATGTAAGGGTCGAAAGAAATTATTCTGGTACTTGTTTTGATCAAGAAAAATCTAGTTATTTAATACTTCCCCCCCAAACCTTCTCCCTCTCCCTCAGAATATTACGCTGTTTCCCTTTTGAATTCTTATACTCATATTCTGAAATTTAATTCTGACATTGAGTAAACAACCAACAGCAATTGAACATATATTACTCTGATTTTTATTCTCTTGTTTCGTCCACCATCTAGAAGGAGGTATAGGGCCCTATCAAGTCCCCATGCCAAGAGATTCAGGTACCCCCTGCATTTCCAGGCAAGCTTTATCTCAGTTTCAGTGGGATAAGTGTTCCTCCCTTCCGGTTACTCAGTGTTGTCAACTCCTCTTGATAGATGGTCACATTTCAGAGACGTGTGAAGTGATTCCAGTGTTTATGAGGCATCTGAGGAAACATCAGGGCCAACAGGCAAGCTGTTGGCGTTATTCACATTTGGGTCCTGTAAGAAAAAAAAGAGGTAGTCTCATTAAGTGTTTCTTTTCAAAACCACAGAAATTAAGTTTTAACTGCTACCTATGGTTTGGGAGATGGGTAGCCTCACCAGTGTTTCCGTGACAGTATTTGACAGTATTTCCTGAGTGCCGTTAGCTGCCAGAAAAGGTGAACAATGAGTCTGGTCTCAAACAAAATGGGATAATTGGTTACAGTAAGACTGTCTTTTATTATTAGAGGAAGGCTGTCATTATGACTTCCATTTCGTCTTTCAGTTAGTCACACTTTAGCTATGTTTTTGGATGGAAGGGTTATTATTATAATGAAATTTTTCAAATGTGACTTCCTGTAGCTCATGCCTTGCCTATGTTCCGCGAGCCCCGCCAACGGAGTACAAGGAAACAGCTGGAGAAGGACAGACTGGATCCCCTGAAGTCACACAAACCTGAACCTCCTGTAGCAGGCCCAGGTGACTTGATCTGGCTAGTGACCTGCAAAGGGGGGTGAGGGACAAGGTGGGGTAATTGATATAGAATTGGGAAGCTCTTTTGCGTCTGGATGCTGCTTTATCTTCAGAGAGATTTTATTAGATTGTGATTTTTAAACATTTTCTTTTTAGCACCAGAACTTTTTTCTTAAAGGCATGACACAGAATCTCAGTATATAAAACTGATAAAAACGGAGCTGCTGTGTTGAAGTAGGGAAGGAAGCCTGGAGCCCTTTCTGCTTGTTCTCTAACTTGAGCCCTGAAGGTGACCTCAGTGGAACCCTGGGGCTCCTTGGAACCCAGAGTTAGAACCACTGCTCTCAATACTGGCATAAATATATCACACTGGGCAATTTGACCAGAACCCAGGCTGAATTAGGTTTCACACAACACATAAAGTAGCCATCATTTAGTTCTGTGTTGAGAAACTGGAGCTGCCCATGTCACTAGAAGATGAATAAAAGTCATTAGAGTTTTTTAAAAAGTAGGTACCAGAACAAAACAAGATAGCATTGGCTATAGTACAGCACATGCCTTCACTAGAATTCCATTTTCTGTTATCACTTGTGTAGTTTCTATTCGTCCTAGGCTCCCAAACCTACAGCTTTTGATTTGTTCATTCATCTGAACCTGAGTTCTGGACTTGCATCTGTTTGCCCTTCAGCATTGAGAACATGCTGCATATCTTTCGATTTTTTCATTTTCTCTGCCACCGTCCTCATCAAAGTTTCTTTTTTCTTTCTTTTCTTTCTTTCTTTCTTTTGGTGGCTGATCAGTAAGGGGATCTGAACCCTTGAGCTTGGTATTACAAGGCTGTACTCTAACCAACTGAGCCAACTGGCCAGCCCAAAGTTTCTAAATAATATTCTTGCCTGGATTATTGCAAACTTTTCTAACTAGGCACCTTATCTCAAGTCACTCCTCTTCCTGCCCTGCCTTCATTCAGCATACACACAGCTTTAATGTTGCTTTGCCTTCCACAGATTTGTCACCCCTTTTCCCCTGGGTGACGGAGCCGCAAAAGATTACTCAAAGCCCATCTCTTCTGGGCAGTGAGAGACCCCGAAGGGGTTAATTTCCCAGAACCTTCAAGAGCAAGGCATTCCTTCCTTTGGAAATTAACCATGAACTGGGGTTCTTTCCCTGAATTTATTCTCCAGGCCAGAAAATTACAGAAAAGGAATATATGCGGTTACAAAAAGAACAGTAAGATAATTGTCATGGCAGCAGTCATTAGGTTTAATTGCATCAAGGGCATCTGTCCTTGGAGCCAGCAATTATGCTGTGTTACAATTCGTATCTACAACAGAGACTTTAGCCTGTGGAAAGTTTACTGTCTATCGCATGCTTAACATTTCTATATGTAATTTTAAAAAGTTAGGCTAAACCTGAGACTACAGGGCTTTGGAAAATAGGCCCTGTGAAATACATTTGCTTTATAAATGATAGTGCTCTCTACAATTTAACCCCCAATTCCTCTAGTTTTCTTATTGCTACTGTCCCCAAACCTTCCTAAGGATCCCACTGTCCAGTTGTATTCCCAGAGACTTGAGGTTTTCTATAGTCTAACTTTAACCACCTTTGTAGCTTTATACCTCAGTTCTCTCCTACTCTTGATCTTCTGCTATGACTTTTGGTTCACTTGTGTCCCCAAATACCCATTGAACTTTTCTTTGTTGTTTTGTACTTAACCCATTTCAGTCATTGAAAATAACCTTCTCTACCTTCTGAGCTTTCCCAAATTGGATTCATCTCTTTCATAGAGATCTGTTCACCTTCCTTAGCTGAAGTGCTGTTGAGTACCAGGAACCATGTGAGCTGTTAGAGATCAGCAGGAAACAAATCCCTGCTCATAAGGAGCTTCCTCTCTAATAGGGCAATTACAGTACAGTAAAATAAGTGAATCAGTGTGTCCAACTTACTTGTTTTTTCTCATAATACCCCAGCAAAATTTTTAGAAGATGGCAAGCCTTAAGATATGTTTGTTTAAAGCTAAAATAGCATCTTATGAATATTGGTTATTTTTATTAATTGAATTTCAAATATTCATGCCTGAGGAAGTTTTTTAAGACATGTACATGGCATACTGTTTGTAATTTTCTATATTGGTTTCACTCTATAAGTCAAGCAACTAGGACATAACAATTAAAAAAAAAGTCTTTTCCTATTTAAAAATGTTACAGGGAAGTCAAGGTTTGGTGATTTCTTACTTTGGTTCTGATTATTATAAATGAAAGTTGAAAGGATGATACTTAAATACTCTTGAGATTTGTGCTCAGATAATAAGTACAGTGTACACAAGGTGTACCTCTGTATTGTCATGCTCATTCAGTTTCTGATTTGTATTTTTTCTTTTGAAACAGGTCGTGGTGGCCGTGTTGGAACCCATGGGGGCACTCTGTCATCCTACATTGTGAAGAACATTGCTTTGGACAAGACTGATGACAGTAATCCCCGGGAAGCCATTTTGCGTCATGCCAAAGCAGCAGAAGACAACCCATACTGGGTTTCTCCAGCATATTCTAAGTAAGAAAATAGCTTTTTAAAATAGAAAAGTTTTTATGTTTAATTAATTCGGAAGAACATAACAATGGTATTTTGGGGTTCTAACTTCTCCATTTCTTATTTCATTCTTGAGCATGAAAAATAGGCTAGATCTTGAAGCCTAGGCATTTGTTTATATCTTAAGACTCTAAAATGGTGAATTTTAAAACTAGGTCAGTTCTATGAGAGTTATAATCTAGTGTAAACCATTATGTGAAGACCATCCTGCCTATAATTAAAAATAAAATAAAATAAATCACTGCCTTAGTTGAGGAGAGCTAAAAGAAAATGAAGGGGAGCAGTTTGTAGGTCTGTTATGAAGGACTGACTTTTATTTAGAGAGCTGTATGTGTAAGTAACACTGTAGAGTAGATCCTGCCTACTCAGATTCCCTCGGGTACCTAAAGTTGAGTGAAAGTGTAGAGGTTCTTAAAGCCACTAAATCAGCTACATTTACATTAAAGAAAGGTACGACTGTAGAATTTTCAGTTTTTACATTTTTTAACTTTTTATTTCAGTTAATTTTAGACTCACAGAAAAGTTGCAAAAATAGTACAGAGTTCATATACTCATATACTCTTCACCCACCTTCTCCTAATGTTAACACCTTACGTAACCATAGTACAATTAATTACCAAAACCATGAAATTAACATTGATATGATACTATGAACTAAGCTACAGACCTTACTTGGTTTTAACCAGTTTTTCCACTCATGTCTTTTCTCTGTTCCAGGATCCCATGTTCCATTTAGTTGTTATTTCTCCTTAGCCTTCTCCAGTCATAACAGTTTCTCAGTCTTTCTTGTCTTTCATGACCTTGACATTTTTAATGAATACTGGTCAGTTATTTTGTAGACTTTCTCTCAGTTTGGGTTAGTTTGATATTTCTCACAATTGCAATGAAACTATGCATGTTCGGCAAAAATAGCACAGGAGTGATGTTGAATCCTTCTCAGTGCATCATATCAAAGTCTTCATTACTGGTGGTACTAATTTTGGTCAGTTGGTTAAGGTGATGTCTGCCAAGTTTCGCTACTGTAAGGTTGTATCATTGTTTTGAGTTGATAAATTTCTTGGGGGTGATATTTTAAAACTATGCAAATCCTGTTTCTCCTTACACTTTTGCTGTCTAGTTTTATCTTCATGGGTGGGTTTACCTGTAACAGTTATTATTGTGGTATTTGCCTAATGGCAATTTTCTGTTTCTTTCCATTCTATATTTATTATTTGGACTTCTACCTAAAGGAAGAGTTGTCCTTTCTCCCACATTTACTTATTTTTCAACTTTTTAAATTTTGTTATGGTCTCTAAAATACTTACTTTATTCTATGAATTAAAATCCAATACTTTCATTATTTAGTTTGTTACATAAATTATTCCAGCTTTGGCCAATAGAAGCTCCTTTGGAATGGCTCCCATCTTCTTTCAACACACCCCTATATATTTTTGAGCATTTCCCTACTTTCTGGCACCACAAGATGTTCCAGGCTCATCTTTGTTTTTCTTGCTCCTTTTCTGGAATCAACCACTTCTCCAAAGAGAAGTTGGTGGAGAATGTTGTTTAGAAACCAAGAGCTGGGTTCTAGATGTGCTCATTGCTACTGGAGTTCCATTGTTTCTAGGTCCTCTCTGCTGACAAAGCTAGGAAATATATATATGTATACTAACCTACACATATACACACATCTGTATTTATGTATGTATCAATCTGTATTTATATTTTTAAAACCATGAGTTTAAATTGATGACTCTGCTTTCAGTATAGCTTTTCCCCTTTTCATATTTGTAACTTCTTTCTCCAATAGTGAGAAACTCAGCTCTTATTTGTTCAATTCTAGTATACACGTAAAGTAGATTCAGAATTTCTAACTCATAACCCCATGAGAACTTTTAGCTCTTTTTGACTCTAGCCTTACAGTATCCAGTCAAGATACTGTTTTCCAAAGTTACTTAGTATATTAGTCAGGGTTCTTCCAAGAGACAGAACCAATAGGATATGTATATAGATATATGGGAAGGGATTTATTAGGGGAATTTGCTCACATGAGTGTGAATGCTGAGAAGTTCCATGATGGGCCTTCTGCAAACTGGATGCCGATAGTATGTATGGCTTAGTCCAAGTCTGAAAGCCTCAGAACCAGGGAAGCTGATGGTGTAATTCTTAGCCTGAGGCCAAGACCTGAGAACCCAGAGGTGCCACTGGTCTAAGTCCTGGAACTCAAAGGCTGAAGAGTCAAGTTCTCATGTCCACGGATGGGAGAGAACAATGTATCCCAGCTCTAGCACATAAAGTGAGAGACTCGCTTTTTCCTGTTTTTTTTTTTTTATCCTCTCTGGTACCCCAGCAGATTGTATAGCACCTACCTATACTGAGGGCAGATCTTTCCCACCTAGTCCACTCAGGCTCACATGGTAATCTCTGCTGGAAACACACTCATAGACACACCCAGAAATAATGCTTTACCAGGTTTCTAGTATTCCTTAATCTAGTCAAATTGACACCCAAAACTAACCATCACAGTTAGATTAGATCTTTTCTTCTCCACCCCAGTCAGTGTAGTTATGTTATTCATTTAAAATGCAGCTAGTTTCATTTGTTAGTGTTTATATTACCTTTTTGGGTTTACCCCACATTCTGTTTATTTGTTTTGGGGGGAGGTGTGTGAAAAGTGTGTGAAATATTACTGTGGTGTCAGAGCTTTAAAAGAGATATACTCAGAGAAGTGTCTCTCCTTCATCCCTGCTCCCCTGTTCCCATTTCCAGTCCCCCTTCTTTCAGTACCTTTCCCACCCACCCCGTATAGCTAGCTAACCAGTCTCTTTAGTTTCTGGTTTATCTTTCCTGTATTTCTTTTGCACAGATGAGAAGATACATGAGTATTTTCTTACATCCCATTCTTTCTTACATGAAGGATAACATAGTATAAATACTTTTTTTTTTAATAAAAAAAGGTGACTAGTAAGGGGATCTTAACCCTTGACTTGGTGTTGTCAGCACCACGCTCTCCCAAGTGAGCTAACCGGCCATCTCTATATAGGGATCCGAACCCGCAGCCTGGTGTCATCAGCACCACACTCTCCCAAGTGAGCCATGGGCTGGCCCCCCCACTTTTGTTTTTTTGGTCTGAATTCTATTTGAAAATCTATGATGAAGTATAATTACAACATAAGAACATATATATAAAGTAAAATGTCATTATTTTTTATTATATTAATACTACCCAAATCCAACTTTTATCACAAAATTATTGCTAATCTGTGATTATCCAGCAAGTAGTTGGTTATCTAAATATTTGTTCATCAGCATTTTTGTATGAAGTTTAACTTTAACTTGGGGAGTGAATATATTATGTCAGCTACCTTTTTTTGTTATGACATTTTTGAAATTTGAATTTTTCAGTCTAGAACTGTAACTTCTTTTTATCCCTCATGTTTATTGAGGTATAATTGATTTTTTAAGTTGTATATATTTAAAGTGTATGACTTGATTCCAATAGTCTTTTGGGCTTTGCATTTTTTTTACTTAGCAGTATGCACTAGAAATCACTACATCAGTTCATAGAGCTCATGCTCATTCTTTTTCAAGTTGCATCGTACTCCATTGTATGGATGTATCATAGTTTATTCAACCACTCTCTTATGTAAGGGTGTTTAGGTTATTTCCAGTACTTTGTAATTACTAACAGTGCTACAGTGAATTAACTTGTGCACATGTATTTTTGTATTGTTGGAGGTATCTTCAATTTTTTCTTGATATCTTTATGCATTACTAAGGTTTTCTTTTTACTTATGAGAAAACTGGACACTGATCACTTTCAAAAACATTAACATGCTAGAAAAAATCCCTTAAGAACCAACTCAATCTACAGATTGTTATGAGTAAACATGTCCCACAAAGTTTCATGTATTGTAACTTAATCCCCACTGTATTAGTGTTAAGGGATGGGGGTGGGGGGAAATCCTGTTATGGTAATTGAAAGGTGGGGACTTTAAGAGGTGATTAGATTGTGAGGACCATGCCCTAGTGAATGGATTAATCCATTGATGGTTGATCATGGGTGTGGTTACAATGGTTTTATAAGGAGACCGTGTGAGAAGCTTAGCTCTCTCTTGCTTAAGAAGCTGTAAGAAATAAATTTCATTTTTTTATACACTGCCCAGTTTCAGGCATTCTGTTATAAACAACAAGAATGGAGTAATACACATGTTATACTAAGTCCCCTATCTGCTGATCATTAGGAATTACTTTGCATAAAAGAAAAACACATTGTCTTAGCATGGGTTCCTTAGAAGGAGACCCTAAGACAAAGATTCACGTAGAGGTGATTTACTAGGATACGTTCCTAGAGAAAACCAGTGGGGGAGTGGAGAAGTGTAATGAAGTGTCAAGCCAAGTCCCATGAAGGGTCACTTTGGTTCAATGCCACAGGGTAGACCTGGAGATTGTGGTCAGAGGTAACATGTTCAGGGGCACAGCAGCTGGAATATCTGTTGTCACTGGTCTGTTGGTCATTGGTAATGACTGTAGATGGGGTTGGGTAGGACATTCCCAGGCACTGACAGCTCTTCAGAGCTTCGAAGATAGGTGCTGCTGCTGTGACTGAAAGCACAGTGCACAAGAATGCTAAAGGGATTTGAGGAGATCTTGGGGGAGCACTGTGTCTTCTGCTATACATGTTGTTGCAGAATAGGGTTTACTGTGTAATGTCAATGGTGGTTGTTCACAATGTGTGTTAATAACCAAACAGTACAGATGGAACATCTCTGAACAATGAGTTGGATAATATTACAACAGCTAAGTGGGTCATATCAAGGCTGGCCAGCTAAATAGTGTGCATTTAGCCTTCATTTGTGTAGAGTTTGTGTGTGTATTAGCTAATATATGTCAACACATCATTGGCAGTCAGACAAGTGTATAGATTATGCCTATGTTAACACTTCTTTTTTTATGGAGTAATTATTTTCTATTATTATTAGGTT